TGAAGAATTAATTATGAAGCCCATTGGGAAATGTTTATTTTTAGATTTTATTAGAATAGCTAATATAACATGGATCCCTTTCTTTTGACAGGCTTAAATCCAACAAAAATATTTAATAGTCTATTGCTTAGTTTCATAATCTTGAGAGGCTGTGAGGTTTGTTTCCAAATAAAGAACAGTGGAAGTCTGAGAACCCATTTCATGAACTAATTAGTACGTGATTTAAGCTTTAATATCCTTGTTTCAAATAGGATTAATTGATCTTTCCCTTACTTTTACACTACAAGTGAGACACTGTGTGTGTAAAGAGGCGCTGTCATTCTTCAGTACCCAGGTCTTCCTCTTTGATGCTCTGGGCCCTCAGGCATTCATGCCCCGACCTACCAGGAAGTACAATGGCTTCCTGGCCAGTTTCTCAGCTCTCACCAATTCATCATTCACCTCTTGATTTTGTTTTTCCAGTTTCTTGCACAGGAATTTCTCTTTCCCTGTCCTTGTAAAAGAAACAAAGTATTCYGACTGATTATGTTGGCCCATTTGAGTGATTCTTCTTTTGATAATTCCATGAAATCATTAATTTATTTTTTTTATTTTGCATCGTGAAAGCATAGGGAGATGAACCAGGGTGTGGGAATTAGAGCAGAGCCAGGCTGCTGTACTGTGCAATAGTCTTTACATTGTGTTCAGTTCATGCCAGACTTGACCTTATACTATTTCCTGGTGAACATGATAGTGTTCCATATTTCTCTCTGCTCTTAGGAGCAACTGCAGTGGTTATTTTGATTCTAGATAAAAGAAATAGTTGATCTGTTAACCTTCTCTGCTGTTTGGGGCAGTGGTGGTGTCAGTGGTAATATGTGTGTATGTGTTGCAGGGACCACAGAGGTAGGGATTATAACTTTCTGAAACTGTAAGAATGGTAGCCTTAAAGAAGACTTGAAGGAAATTAAAAGGCAGAACGTAGGTTTCTCTCCCTTTAAAATGTAACTGGAATTTTTGGGTTGCTGAATAAGGAAGGAAGAGGAGGACAAGTTCAGCTATAAGATTGGTTAGAGCACTGATCTCTTTTWTTTTTTTTTAAGTTATGTCCACACATAATACCTTTATTTTATTTTCATGTGGTGCTGTGGATTGAACCCAGTGCCTCATACAGGCTGGGCAAGTGCTCTACCACTGAGCTATAACCCCAGCCCCCTAYGGCCCTATTCTTAATCCTGTCCTTAATAGGAAGGAAATGACACCATAGAATTTTAAATGACAAGTCTTCAGTTTTTTTGTCTTTGCTGAATAAAAGTCTACAACAATGTACCTGATTACTAATATTATTTTGGTTTACATGTGGCTAATTTTGCTTTTCCTATAAAGGACTTTATTTATACAGAAGAGATTAGTCCCTGTGGCACTGGATGGGGGGTTATATGATAGAGAGGGAAATAGAATTACCCTGTGTGCAGTTGCCTTGTGCCCGCTGTTGATCCTATTTTTTGGTGCCAGGTACTATGGGGCCTAGCAGGATGGAAGCACCAGTGCTCTCTATGGATAGTGCTCTGTATGTGCTATCCACACACAAGTCCTTCCTCCCTGACTGCTCCCCRCATAGGAGGTGCTCCCTGAGCACTGCCTCACACAAATAAATGCTAATAAATGTTCTTCCTGCTAGTGTCACACCACTCAAGCAGGGAATACAAAGGGTCATCCATTTACTCACATTTATTTACTGACTTTGTTTTCTATCAGTTTTGGCTTGCAAATTAAGCCCAGATAAACGAAGAAAACTGAACTTGTTAATTTTACCTGTCTGAGAAACAAAAATGTAGCCTGCTTACTTGACCTAAACCAAGGAAATTAGGCTGGAGAAGGCTGAGATGGACTCCCAGGCTCTTTGGGGATGAATGAGCATTTAACTATGGCCATCTAGCCACAGGTTTCCTAATTTGATGGAATGTGTTTAAGCTTCATCCATAGGGGTCTTTTCAAATCCCAGTGCAGCTGAGGGATTTTGAGAGTCAGTAAATAAAAGAACACCCATCGATGAAAAAAAAGTTTGAAATTGTTGGRTTTAAGTTTACCATTTGTTTTCTCAAAGCACAGAGTTCAACTACAAAGTATAATTGCTTTAAATTTATCAAGTTCTCAAGTTGTAAAGACCTGTCAGTATTTGCATTTCAGTGCAGGAGTGAGGGCTTAATTCTTCACTGTTTTAATATAAGCCTTCCTAACATGCTAACTCTAATTAATGTTCAGATGTATGTGCTATAACTTTAAAAAGTCATGGGAGAATTAATTCTTTCTAAAAATTCTGCATCAGGTCAATTATTATTAAATTTAGTTTTAACCAATACATAAAACATGCAAGTAGTACATATCAATGGGGTAACATGGTGCTTTGATATGCATATGTTATGTAACGTTTTTAATCAGGTTAAATATATTTTTCTCAAGTATGTACCAACCCTTTATGGCAAAATCTTTCAAAATTACTTTCTTCTAGGTTTCTGAATTGTACAGTTTATTATTGTTATCAATAGAGAACCTACTGGGCAACAGAACATCAGAACTTCTTGCCCCTATCTAATTATAAGTCAGTACCCATTGATAAATCTTTTCCATCTCTTCCTCACCCACACTCTCCCCATCTGGTGGAAACCACCATTCCACTCTCCACCTCTATGAAATCAACACAGGTGTCAAAAAGACACCTGCACTCCCATATTTGTTGCAGGACTATTCATAGTGATTAAGAAATGGAAACAAACAACATATCCATCAGTTGATGAAAGGATAAAGAGAATGTATTACATGTACTGGCAGCTATAAAAAGAATGAAATCCTATCATTTCCAACAACATGGATGGGACTAGAGATCGTCCTGTTAAATAAGTCAGGCACAGTTAGACACATACTTAACTTCTCTTGAGACTTAGTAAAAAGTGTTTAATAACTTCTCCAGGTCTTCTCCTTGGTGTCAAGGTAATTTTTCCCTCCAGTACTGGGAATCTAACACAGCCTCTGGTACATGTGAGACCATTGCTTTCCCACTGTGCTACATTCCCAGCCCTTCATACCAGTGATTGTTTCATCCGCCAAGAGCTGCAGCCAACATCCTAGGTTCAATTGTGAATATCCGTGTGTCTTGTGCCCTGGCATAGGGTCTCAGAAACTAATCAAAGGAGACTTGAGAGAAAATTCAGTCTTTTCAGGTTCTGCCTATAGCTACAAGTTCTCTCTGTTAGACAGAGCCTAGGGCAGGAAGGCCAATGTGGGTGCTACTTCCCAGCACCTTAATGATGTGAGAAATGGGAAGGGTTAGATAAATGCAGGTAGCAATTTGGTGACTTCAGGGAAGAATCACAGACCTTTGTGGCAAACCTTGGGGCCTGAGGTGCCACCCAGGGCAAAGCAAGGGACAGGGCTTAGTCCTTAGTTTTATCTGGAAAGCAGAGCCTTTAGCCCTTAGAGAAAGGGCAGCAATATGGGGAAAGCATATGATTTCAACTGCTCATTAAAGGCGTGAATTCAATAGATTGCTCAGATGTACTCTCAGGCTGCTTTCATTTCTGAACTAAGCAACACTGATATTCCCAGTTCAAGTTCAGCCTGACATACATGCACATTGACTATTTGTAATCCCTTTTTGATACTCTCCTTCTAAAAAGACAATCATCTCCTTAAATAGTGCTTGGACTCATGATATCTTTAGCAAGGACCTTAGGCAGTGAGAAGAAGAATGTGGAAAGTATAGGACTAGAAGAAATGGCTGTATGTCTAAATTACTGAGACCTCAGTGTATTGAGTTAGTGTAGAATTAAGCTGATCACGACAGAAAGTAGGTACCGAACTAGGACCCTGCAGTAGGTAGCTGAGGTTATTAATGAGGTAAATGAAGGCTATTTATTACAAGTGGTCTGCTTTACAAATTCTTCCTTGTGGGATGGAATTTGCCTTTTCTATGTCTAGTTTTCTTGTGTATGGTAGTAAAAAGCCAGGCTACAAGGTTCAAAATTTCTGTTGAACTATTAATTTTAATTTTATATATTCAAACTATTAATATGCATTATGCCCTTGGGTTAGTATGCTTCCTATTTAAAAGGTGTGAGGTGAAAAAAAATTCTGTTCTAGTGTAAAATTGCTGTTCAGTGGCTGTGAGGACACTTTGCATTGTGCTTGCTCCCATCTCAAGCTGAGCCAATAACTTCCTCAAAATTCACATGTGGCATCGGGTTGGAGAAATGTGGTTTCATCCTATTGGTTCACAAAGAATTTTCTGGTTTGGGTACAGCTTCAGGCATTCTTCCTAGGTGGCTGCCGATAGTAAAAYCACACTAAGATTTTACTTTGTAAAAGTTGGAGTGATGTCTATGAGGCCCTAGAAGGTTTCCAACTATACACCATTCTCTCAGGGGTTAAATTTCACAAGGGTGGCCAGAACTAGAGACAGCATGCTTGTGACTCCTACCCAGATGTCTCAATGAAGCCATGTGCCTGTCCTACAAGGCAAAGTCATCCCTTTTTGAGGATCTAGATTAAATTCGAGCTTCCTTACACTTGAAGACCAATTTTTTTTTCGAGTCCTCTTAACAAAATGATGAGCAATTTTTAATCAAATGTTCTTCAGAATTTGAAAACCTTTTCAAAATTCTAGTGATTTCTAAATTACTGTGTATTAAGATATTATCATGTGACATCATGCAAGTTAATGTTTGAATCTTAGAAGATGTCGTCCTTAAAATGTGAATAAATTAATTTTATAAATGTAGTCACATTTAAGGTGCACATAAAGAATTATCTGAGTAAAACCCTGTTATTTCTTGTTGAAGGAGAGAGGTGGGTTTCAGTAGAATGAAGAGATCTTTAATATGTAAATTAAAATTTAACATCAAAGTAACTGAAGATAATCTGTATTTATACCTTGGTTTTATTTTGGAGTGCATAYAGCCTCAGAGTGGTGCTTGAATCCCTTACCTTTAGCACTCTGAACACTCCTGGCCTTTATTTTGCAGCAGTCTCTGGTCCCAGCGCACCCCATGGCCCCTCCCAGTCCCAGCACCACCAGCAGTAATAACAACAGTAGCAGCAGTAGCAACTCAGGATGGGATCAGCTAAGCAAAACGAACCTCTACATCCGAGGCTTGCCCCCCAACACCACCGACCAGGACCTGGTGAAGCTCTGTCAACCGTAAGTACAGTTTCTCTTGTTTTAGCTGCTAAATATTTCCTTGATTCTATTATAGATGATAATAATTGTGTCATTGCAGAATTTCATAGGACAAATCTGTAAATGCTCAGATTTGCAACAAGGAAATGGGTTTCCAAGTTTTAAGTCCTTGGACACTTGCTCGATATTACCATCAGCAGAATGCCTATGTAACAAAATAAATTGGAGCATTTTCTCACTAGAATTTCACTCTGTGGGTGYATGAGAGATAAAACATGAATTTTAAACTATTTTATGCTTAGATTCTTTTTAGGAGTGCTCATTTTTTCATGAGAGCCCCTCTAGGTGCCAGTCTATCAGCTGTTATTTCTGAGAAAGGTAGTTAACCATCTAAGSTCATCCTCAATGTGAGTCAAACTCTTAATTGCTGCTGGGACAACATTAGTCATTCTTCATGAGCACCTGTAGTTCTGTGTCCCAGTTGTTCACCCTGTCTCTTTGGGAATAAGAACTTACTTCCATTTCCTTAATCTTACGAAGAAATGTGTGCATGTGCATAAACTTCCAAAGTAAATTTGCATTATATGCTAATGTTGTTGATGAATAGAATATAAATGTGCTACTTTGCTGCAATTACATTAACTCAGCTAAGTAAGAAAGCACTAATTTAAACTAAGGAACCAGAAGCACCATATAGTGCAAAAGATCATTGTATAAAGACTGAAYGCATCAAATCACATTGAGCAATAAATGCCTACACAGATAACAGCACTTTTTTATTTATCCTAAGACAGTAATGGTCCTTTACAAAAGAAATTTTACATAATTGAAGATAAAGACTATCACTAGAGAATCTTTCCCTTCAAAACATCCCCATTTTGAAATATTGACAGCATCTCATTTCTGTCCTGTCCTAAGTACAATTCAGATCATTACTTTTCTTCTTTTTCTTTTCCTTTCCTTTTTTTTTTGGGGGGGGGCGGAGCTGGGTGGAGTTTAAAAATAACTTGAGCAGTATAAAAGTAACATCTGGGCTTCTGTAAGGAGGTGATAGTGGTTTTGCTTTGTTTTGTTTTGAGAGAGAAAGGGTGATGGCCCTTTAGGTCCTGGAGAGCTTTCTAGAAAGCCATGACTSTCAGCCTTCCCTCTCTTCCCTTCCCATGTCCCCCTTTTTGATCATCCCTCTTGGACTTGGGCTTCAGCCCTTGGCTTTCAGGGCAGTGAGTGAGTGCCCTGCACTGGGGTCTGCTCTGAAAGCAAGTCCAGCTTTTGGGTTTTGTTGTGCCTGGCCAGAGGCAACAGGAACCCTGCCAAGCACTCCCTGCCCTATTGCAGCTGTTCAAGACCACAAATAGGCCTTTTGCTATCTTGTCTGCTGTTGGCCTTTCCCTGGCGTCTTCTTATGCTTCTGCAGCATAATTACAGGTAGCTATAGCGCCATAAAGTCTAAGGAACTAAAAATGTAACTTCGTAAGAAACAAAAGAATGAAGCTAACTAACTCTCAAACTCTTGAGGTATAAGAGAAGGGGGAGAGGATTTCAAAAGATTGATTATCTCTCAGCTGGTTTTGAATTATGTAAGGTGAGTGATGATATCAAGGAGACAGTTAACTAACCATAAAATAACACAGTAATATGATGTTTTATATACAGTAACTACGTACTTGAAAAATCCAGCCGGCAATTTTTTATCAAATCATTATATTCCAAGCATAGTAGAACATTTTATCATTTTTTTCTAGAATATTGCTTCCTTTTTTGTTGTTAGTCTCTTCRATGTCTATGATTTTTTTGCACATGTATAGATATTAACTCTCTTTGCTAGTGTCAGTATCAGCAATAACTGTTTGCCACCCTCACTCCCTCCTGTCATCTGCAAAGGGAGGCTTTTGCAGAAGTCCCGGGTTGGATATTAAACTCTGATAATAGTTTTTTTTTTTTAATATGCATGTACAGAGCCAAGACATAGAATAATAGGGGAGACTATCTTAGAATCTGCTAGAAGCTTCATCGCATTTAACACAGAATCTAATAAATACCAGATTTGACTTGCTGACAATTTTGTGTCTTAGAATATAGAGAAAATAAAAGAGGGCATTCCTGTTCTGGACTTAATTGCTTCCAATAAAGAATAGCTAGTTGGTGACATGGAAGTGACAAGACCTTATGGGAAAGTGACTCATTCTAATGCTTCAAAAATCAACTGGATGTAATTAGGGATTTTAGAAAAGTGGGTATCAGAGACTTCTCAGAAAAGATAATTGTAAATTCATTCTTCTGAAAAAGAGAAAAACATTTTAGAATTAAGAAAACAACAATTTAATTAAAATTGACCTGATAAGGCTGAATTGGGGGCAGGGGGAGGCAGTGATGAAACTAATGATTTGGCTCTGCCAGAGGCTTTGGCTCGTTTATTATTTATTTATTTATTTGGGGGGGGGACATAATACCTTTTATTTATTTTTATGTGGTGTCGGGGATTGAACCCAGTGCCTCATACATGCTAGGCAAGCATTCTACCACTGAGCCCCACAACCCTGGCCAGAAGCTTGGCTCTTTTAAAGGGTTATCTAACAGAGTTGGGAAAATCTTTACAATAGTCACCTGGTTCCATACAAAAAAAAAAAAAAAAATGCATCAAGTCCAAGGATTAGTAAAACATGAACATTCTTAAAAAAAAAAAAAGTAGAGAGGAAAACAGTATTTTTTAAATGCTCTTCTTGGAGTAAAACATAGAGGTGCTAGAATGTTAGAAAAAAGGATAGTGAACAGGCAGGTGTTATGGGGAAAAATCAGCCTCCCACGCTCAGAGATTAATGGCACTGGAAGTGTAGGCCACCATGCTGAAGAGGAGGGGACCTGGCAGTGGGAGCTTATGTGGAAGGTCCCCAGCTTAGCTCAGGAGACCTGGATAAGGACCAAACTGGTGACAGTGATAATGATCAGAAACTGTGGATTTAAAGCAGATAAATTTTCTAGGAATGCTTGATGAGAGAAGCCAAAAAGCTCTGGTTAACTTCTAAATTGTGAAATGTGTATGGGAAACCTGAGAATCTCATGACTGCTCCAGGCTGTTGCAACTTGGTTCCCCATTTCTGTTCAAAAAGATGACATCAGTGCTGGTAACCAGCAAGTTTAGGAGGTGGAGTGGTGTGGGTAGCAGAAAGGAATAATCTACTCTACCTTGACCCTCAAGTATTCTTAATTTTCCTCATTCTCTGAAATCCAGCCAAGTATATACTGCTTAACTGTGACTGTAAGTGTATTGTCATTATAAATGTTTTTTTGATAGAATATCTCTCCCATCCAGRCTCCTCAGGCAAATTCCTTTTTAGACAGAAGAGTTTAGGGCCCTTTTGCTTCTGTTTTCTTGCAAACCGTACCCATTGGTATTTTGTCTACATGTTCTCAGTTAAAACYAAACTGGAATCATAAATGTCCCTTTATTTTCTCTAATTTTGTTTGTTTGCTTTAACTGGTGTCCACCTCTCCTCAACTCTTTGCCCTCTTAATTTCTGTTTTCTTGGCTKTTTATTCTGTAGGATCATCCTCTCAGGGGGCTGTTCTCTACTCTTTCCAATTCTCTACACATTTTCCACTTGAATATTTCATTTGAACCTCAAACTCATCATTATCTCCTTCCTCCCCAAACTGTCATTTTCCCAAATTTACTCTTCTCAGTATGAAGCTTTAGAGCAATGATTGAACACTTTCTGCTGACCCTTAGTCTCCAAGTCCTGTAGGTTCTTTAAAAAAAAAATTCTTTTTCGTTGGTGCATTATAATTATACCTAATAGTGGGATACCTTGTTACCTTTTTGTACATGCATACAATAGAAAAATATAATTTGGTCAAATTTTCTTTTTCACTGACAGAAGACTGAGGCCTCCTTCCTTGCTCCCTGTAGTGTGACTGGAGGGGACCATTTGCTCTGCCTGCCACCTCTCCTCAGGAGTCTTCCCATTTCCCAGCCTCCATCTGCAAGCCAAATTTAAGCTCTATTGCCTCCTCCAGGATTGGGCCACACTAATAACCCTGCTTCTTATTTTCTTCCTTATTTAGTGTGTATCACCACCTTAAACAGTTCTGTTCTCCAAGGGCTTATGACGTTATTTAGCAGCATGTCTGTGGCTGYGTATAATGCTAACACCATGTCATGTTCTCAGACTTCTCACTTGGCTTTTAAAATCATCATGGTCAGTGTTGATAATTTTCAGATTCCCATGTTATCTACCACAGTGCTCAGAAAGTGCCTACTTATCGGATAGCGTATAAAATGGGTCAAATGATGCTTTTATGGATAGGTTGTGATCTGGAATCAAATTCAGGTTGAGTATCCCTTATCCGAAGTGCTCAGAACCAGAAGTATTTTAGATATTTTCAGATTCTGAAATATTTTCACGTGTAATGAGATATCTTGGGAATGTGACCAAATCTAAACATAAAATTTATTTGTGCTTCATGTACGCCTTATACACTTAGTATGAAGACTTTTGTACTATGTATTTAGTGCAYTTGTGTTTTGACTTTGACCCATCGTACAAGGCAAGGAGTTTTCTACTTGTGGTGTCATGTCAGTGCTCAAAAAGTTTTAGATTTGAATTTTGGAGTAAGAATGCTCAACCTGTAAAATAAGTGAAAGAGTTGGTCTTCTGCCTAGAACAGAATTGTCACTGAACAAATATTAATCTTTCTTTGCATCTCAAAATCCTAACTACTAGAAAAAAGCTTAAATGTATTTAATACCACATTTAAAACTAAGGAGAAAAGACCCCACCATATTCTGAGCATGTAACCCACCATGATTCATTCCTTTTTATAATGATTACTATGACATGGATAATCTTACATTGTTCAAATTCCCTTTTTTTGAAGACTTTTAAAACAGTGTTTGTGTACAAGGTTTGGTCCACAACTCTTCCTGATTTGTAGTGGGAGCCCCAGGTTGAAAGTCTCTGTCGGCTAAGTCTGGGTAGCTTAAAGATTATCARGGCATCAACATCCTATGAGAAGGTCCAGAC